ACTATCAAAAACCTCAGGGAAGGTTTCTGAAATTATCCCCGATTCAAAATGAAGAGTATTGGGAGAAAAGTGTCCAGGGGCAATTACTGTACAAGTTAGAAATATCACTAATGTCGCTATATGTTTATGCAAGCATTAGGCAATTTGGAAAACCTAATTATAGCTTCTTCTTCTTCTTTTTTAATGTACTAGAAAGAAACAAAAGTAGCTAAACATCGTGCACATGTGGTGGGATCCTTTAAACATGATTGCATATATTTTGGGAGGATGAAGAAGATCCCCCAGGCTATAATGGGTCAAGTACAACCTAAAATGGTGTAAGTCAACAAACAAATCGTTGCCGTCATTTATGGAACCATTACCAGTACAAGGTTGCATGAGATTTATTAAAGCTGTTAGGGGCAGTTTGCCTGTTTTGAGTGTGCTCTCCAGGTAGAAATGGCATTAACAAAAAGTGATCTTTAAAAAAGTGAATGGAAAATAAAGGGATTTTATTGATAAGAACACGGTAGACGACAGTCATGCAACAGTTTCGAGCATTTTCTTGTCCCTGTGTCTCATTCATTTGTCATGTACACCAGGCTTAGTTTTCATAGAAAAGTTTCTTGCCTTTCTTGCTTATTCATACACTATTGTTTCAGGTAGATTAATTTGGGATAGGCTACATAGAACTCCCATAATTGAGGTTCAATTGAATTAAACCAGACATTTTTCTTCTAACCTGAATTCTTGTGTTACACTGGATTATCTTTTTTTTTTTTTCTTTTGGGACTACTTTGAATTTAAAACCTAACAGCAACAACAGTAATCCCTCCCTGTATATCATCTGCATGCATGGGTAACTTTGCCGTGAAAAACAAAAGAGAAAAAGAAATTTCTTACTTGAAATTTCAAACAAACGTATTGATGGCATTGGCGTCCGACGGAGAACAAGCCTCACAGGAAGGAAATGTTTTATATTTTTACCCAGTGATGCTCTGAAATTGAAGTTTTGGTTTGACCAGCCAAGGTAGAGACAAAATGTCAAAATCTCCTTTTGTTTCCTTGTGCAAAGATTCTCCGATGAAACATTAGTTTTTGAGGATGGTGTCACTGAGTCAGCCATGGAATTGGAAGATTAGTAGACTAGTCATTTTCTTTGTTTTCATGTTCAAAAGTAGGTTGCAACAGTCTATCTTCAGCTAGTTGATCAATATAAACTAAAAGCTAGCTCAAGTAATCAAGTGAAAATTGACTTCTTCTTTTTTTTTCAAAGTTTTTGGGATCATGCATTCATCCTCAGGGTGACTAAATGCTTTGAATGTATAAGCTCTAATGAGATGATTGACATCCCAACTTAAAAAGCCCAACATTTCCCATGGAGAAGTGCTTTTGTAATCAAACTGTGCTATCTTTTCTGGATTGAGGGTTTTGAAGATCAATTAGCATTATAAGTTACCTAGCTGAACTTCCTTTGCTGCATAATCAATTCGAGTGGACATGGAATTTTTTCCGCACTTTCTTCTAGTGATACATGGCTATCTTTTCAGCTGGATGGATTGAGGAAGAAGAAAAACCATGAATGTGATCAAGCAAGCATCCCTCAGCTTTTGATGATTCTGGAACTTCACAAATCGATAACGACACCTGAGATTGCAAAGATCAATTGTAGTTGAAATCCGCTGAATTTGGCATGTAGAAAAACAAGCTACGAGACAGATTTTGTACATCAAGAAAACCGGACAAGGAAATAGCAGGCTGCACTGAGTTGATTGAACAAGTTTTGGAGCTTGAAGCTTAGACCAATTCATGCAGTCTCGTAAGCATTTTGAAAGTCATAACTGCACATTTTTGTGAGGTGACCTTATTTTTCATTTGTTTGTTTGTCTGTACGATCTTTCTCAATCTAATGTGTGAGACTTATGCTTGAAACTTTTCGACAAACAGCCAAAGAGATTCCATATATATAGCTTGTATCTCGCTTTCCTTTATCCAAAATTCACTGTTAACTAGTTTAATTTAGTAAAAAAAAACATGATCTAACCACTAATAAAAGCCATAAGCTCTAATCTATACATGATCATTACCTCATCTATTAGCAGGGCTAGGCAAACCCACGTTGTCTTGACTGAGACGACTGCTTAAGATTAATCTATAAGGAGGGAGAGAACAAAATGTGACTGAATAATTGAATGGACAACTGAATTCAATGGTAAACCTACAATGTTCAACAACAACGTTCCTGTTGTTGATAACAGGAAGATAACACCTGATGCGAACATATATTGATATTTTAGTAGAATCACGTCTGAGATAACTACAATGTCTTTGACTCAATGGATTAAGTCTTCTGACTTGATTGTATAATGTTAAGGGTGTCATGGTCGAGGTCATTGACAATTTAACATCATGCTACAGTGTATATGAGTAAAACCTTATATTTTACTAGGTAATTAAATTTTGTCCTACTATAAACTTCTTATCTTTGTGATGCGAACATTAAAAGCTTCCCTGTCATTTTTAAGAGGTCAATGGTGGGATTTCACCTCTCTATTGAGAGCACTCCCATTTTTTTTTTTTTTTTAAAAAAAAAAAACCAACCGTGGAACTTCACCTATCTTTTGATGACTCGACTACGTTAAATTGCACACCCTCATTTAGAACTCGAGGCCTATTGATCATAGGTTTTAGCAGTGTCCATAAGCAAAATAACGAGATTAAAAATTAAGTGAAAGGGTCTGTCTAATGAGTGTTTAAATGGGAATTCGTTAAGATGTAATTAGGGTGTTAATTTTTTTAAAAAAAAAATAAAGCTAATTAAGAAAAATATATAAATGCAAGAGAAAGTAATAATTAAAGCATTTCATATATTGATAATTTTACTTACCACTTGATGACTCTACTAATTGACATTGTACACCCCCATGTAGGACGCAATGGGACCTAATAATTTGTTACAGGTGAAACATTTTAACAACGTCAAAAGGTAAAATAATGAGATTAAAGTTGTGCAATATGAAGCCTTCCTTCTCAAACATTAATGAAATATTTATCAAACTAATTGAGCTAATTGGTTATGGGATTGGTGCACGAATTTTCATTAATCACTTTTAATCCCATCTATGGTTTGTTAATAGTAGATATTTCAATAGTTGTGGCTGGAAAATAATTCCCCGGCATTCAATAAAAAAAGAAAATAATTCCCCGTTGCATTGGAAAAAGACGGCAAAATTGGGTTCCGTAACAAATAATTGACGGACAATAAAGCCCAGCCAAACGAGAACTAATGGCATATTTACACGGTTAATAAAACTTCTGAAGTCTTGTTGGGCTCTGCAGGCTGGCTCAATTGAGGGCCTGTGTTTTTTTTTTTTTTTTTTTCATGTTTGGTCTGAAAATACAACTCCTACAAACCCCATCTTCCAAATTCTACACCAAAAACATCTATGTTTCATTATTCAGAAAAAATAAATAAATTTTTCATATAAATCTAAAAAAAAATCTATAAAACTTGGAATTAGTTTTCGAAAACTTGACAGTGTGTAAAGGAACAATCTTTGCGAAACTCAAATACACTTCTCTTTTACTTTTATAGCTTGGGCAAACAGCCCAATCAGGAGGGGAAATGACCCAACAAGGCCATAAGACAAAGATACTGCGGTAGGAAGATATTCAGGAAACAATCTTCATCATCGGCCTGGGCAAGGGATTTATGCACCATTAGTTTCTGATTATCAAGTTGAAAAGCAATCATAATATTGGCAAACTAGGGGGGGCAGTATCAGTCAGCTTGGGTAGGTGCTTTTTTTTTTTTGAAAAAAAAAAAGAAGAAGATCAAGATTGGTTTCCACTTATTTCTTTAACAATTTGAACCCGTGATCTCTCGATTTTAGATGAAACGTTTTACTAACTAGAAACGCGTCATCGTACAGCTTGGACAGTTCAATGAGCGGCGGCATCATTTTCAATTTCATCAACACATCCACTGTTTCACTAATACTTAGAGGTGGCAATTTGTCCCAAGTCCCAATGGGTTACCCATGCCCATGGGGACTTTGGGCGGGATGGGTATTGGATTTTGATATTGGGTTTAAAATGGGACAAATCCCAATTGTACCCATTAATTGATGGGAATACTTGGGAAATACTTGGGTACCCATTGGGCTCAAATAACAAGGGCTCTGTTTGGTTTAGCTATTTTTGGGGGGTATTTTTGAAATATTTTATTATAGCAGTGTATATGAAAAATTTTTACTATAAAATTTTTTTGTTTTATTTGATATACTAATATGGATGGGATGTTTTTTGAGTTATTGTATATTACTGTAACATTGTATTTGAAAAACTTATTTTTTGAAAAAATAGCCAATCCAAACGGAGTCTTAAATTAAAAAATTATCTTTAACAATTTTTATAGCCATACTAGAGAATATAATCTAGTAGTTTTCCTAGTCATTATCCACAAGAATTTTCAACATTTCAGTCAATTTAGACCTGTCATCTTTGGACAATGATGAGGATAAATATTCAACACCTTAAGTACCTTGGTCATCTTGATATATGTTGGAATATGACTGTATATCTATTTTTTCCTTTATTTGTTAATCCAATTTTTTATGGGAATCCTGAGTATAAAGCACTTGCATGTTTATTTAATAAAACTAAAAAAAATTTAATATATAAAAAATATTAAAATTATATAAAAAATAAAAATGAATTAAAGGAAAAAAAATATGTAGAAAATAGATTTGGGTATTGGGCGGGATCAATCTAAACCCATCCCAAAGTGATCCCGCCCAAGTTAGTCCCAAAATACATATGGGTAAGGTTGGACCCAAACCCATATGACTCGGTTCCATCACAAACCCAAGCAAATCCCGCCCATCCCGCCCATTTTGCCACCTCTACTAATACTTACCGCTAAAATTCACACCTCAAAGTCACCTGATACGCATTCCTAGTTGTAGCATGAATAAGTATGCAGCATAGTCAATTGAAATTAGAATGTTACCCGGAAAATATTGCAGAATAAAATCTTATTTAGTGTATCAACCTCCAAAGACAACATTCAGGAAACAGAGAATCATGTGTCTCTTTGCTTTACAACTTGCTTATTTGCATCAGAAAGATGTTCATTTCAGAGTTAAATCATATGAGATGACATAGCTTTCCTAATACCCTGTGGAGCTGAAGAAGCCAGTAATTCATCCACAAGATTGAAGGACGAGATATTGTCAAATTACAGTGCAATCAACGCATGAAATCATCGAATTGTACAGGAGAAAGTAATGGTTTGTTTGAGAAGAAAGCTTTCAAATTCCCGACCACGAGATCGTACAAATCCTTACAAGATTCCTCTGTGAAGACGGCAGAATGTGGTGAAAACACAACATTATCCAATTCAAGCAGCTCTTCAGGAACATTAGGTTCATGTTCAAAAACATCCAACCCTGCTCCTGCAATTTTTCCTTCCTGCAAGAACTGCACCAATGCCTTCTCATCTATGATGGCTCCACGAGCAGCATTAATAATTACTCCTTGCCTACCTAGTGCCTGGAGAACTTCCCTGTTGATCAGGTGATAGGTTTGGTCATTCAATGCACAACAAATAATAAGAACGTCGGAGTTGGATGCTAGTTCACAGACATCAGTATAAAAAGGGTATGAAACAGAAGGCTTCTTCTCCCTGGATTGGTATGAGATTTTGGAGCCAAAGGCCTCAAGCCTCTTCGCAACTTCCCGGCCAATCCTACCAGTCCAATTATGCCAACTCGCTTGCCTCCCAGCTGCAATCACAATTTTGTAGTCATTGATATTGAATTGAAAAGGTAAATCACACGACAATGGAATTTTCAGATGCCTATAGGCCCAACATAAATAAAATGCAGAAAGGCACTATTGAATCCCAATTATCAAATGTAACAGGCCTCTGTTGAAATTCTAAGACACTAGAGTATCCAAGCAAACTTAAATATGGCAAAGAAAAATACTACCCAAAGGGTTATCTTTCAAAGGCATCTAAAACACATTCAATAAAACCACTCCACAAATGATACGTCACTATTCTTTTATACCTCAACAAGCTGTAAAATCAAGATAAATTTTGACTTGTGCAGTCTGTTGCTTAATAACATTACGAGTCTTCAGCAAGAATGGGTCTGAGACGGAAAACTTGGATTTTTTGTGTATCAAGATATGGTTAGTCAAACTATAATTCAATGCACTGACTTTTGCTCAAGTTGTGGGTATCAGGAACTAAAGGGAATATTGAACTCTGGCAACATCAGTTACAGCTCAGCAATGATAACCATGCAGCACAGAATAACGTAATTTAGATCAAGACTGCAGCAACCAAGCAAGAGAGAAATTTCTGAATCCTTGCAACATTTAAACTTCAAAGCACCAAACAACATACCCAAAACCCAACACTCCCTGGCCAAAATTCAAAAATACACAATGCAAAAGGAATAAGAAGAATAGAAGAAGCAATGGATGAAACTGGAGAAGGATAAGTACAAGAGTGAAAAGAAAAGAACTAATATTTACACAAATACCCATCTACATCAATCTACTAAAACTTTGTCAACTCCTCAATGGAACAAAAATGCGACTGACCTGCAAACGCCGTAGAACAGGCTTTTGCCATCTTTCCCGCTGCAAAAGCCAGAAGCAAAAGGTAAATACAAAATGAGATAGTGTTTAACAGATGTACAGGAATCAGGTAAATTATCCACTAGTGAAATTGTTTGATTATCTTCAATGAACTATCATACGTTGCACAAAACATCGACATAAACAGGTGCTTGCTGGATTTCATGAAAATCTAATCCCAAAAGAGAATTACCGACAATGCATGCTTTTCTTAAATTATGTTATTGCCACAAATGATCCATCTAGAACTTCAAAGCAGCTTTATTGTACTTATTTTAAGGAAGGGGCTTTGAATGTAAACACAATATGCCACAGAATAACAACTATAACAATATTACTAGCAAGAAGCCCTTTGCAAAGACAAAAAACAGCTGTTAACAAGCTATACCTGTTAATCATCAAATCAAAAGTAACTTGGAATTCCAAACTACAGTTTATTTTGAGATTGCAGAAGTGGGATAGAACTACAGATGCTATCAATGCATAACTATTTTTCAAGAAAGATTAAAGATGAACAGTTGACAATACAACTCAAAAAACTAAACCAAGAGTACAAATGGAAGTGAATATGCATGCCTCAGATCAACAACCAAAGACTCTTTATATTATCCTATATTTTCTTCTTTCTTATAAAGCATCAAATCAAGTTGATAACATCTTTTGCCAAGTAAATGCACCAAGGCACATCTAAAATAGATGGACAAGACAGTGCAATTTTGGCAATCTGTGAATCAGGAAATCATGGCAGGGATGCAAGCGATTATAAGGATTCCAGAACAAGTTGAAGCTCCTTGACCATAAGTAGTATTCTCAAACAAGTTCCAGATTGGAAAACCCCAGAGGATAAATCCACATCTCATCCATATGTTTTTTCAGTACCAACGCATGGATGATGCTTACCTTTTCTTTCCAGTAATTGTAAATAGACTGGAAAACTCCGTACTTGATTGACAGGGATTGTAAAGCCTGGCATTGCAAACCAACACAAACTATTACAAGCAGAAAGCTTTCTATAGATACAAATGAAAAACCATTTATCAGATAGATAAACTATATGGAAACCAAGAGAAATGAATATCTGCACATTTCCTGGACAGATGCCAATAGTCTAAACCAAATATGAAAGTTTTTAATGAATGAAAAACCAAGTTCCCACAAGTTGAGCATGAATTGACATCATAATAACCCAAATTGATCTACCATTTGAGCATCTATAACTTTCCTGCATTCACATTCCCAGCCTACCATTAACATAATATGAACCTGTCCATAAAATAAAGAGCCCCAAGCCTATCACAGAGCTTCCTTCACCCACAACTTCAGTTTTACACAACTTTCCAGGCAGTCAATTAACGATATTTTTTGACAAGCTGAGTTTAGTCCACATATAAACATCATATTTTGGTGTACTATAGAAACTTAACTGATGACTGCAGATTGAAATTTGCTATTCGATAATCTTTTCACTGAACAGATTTTGCTCATAATGTACCAGTCAAGCCAAATATAGTCAATCCCATACTTCACCAGCTTTAGCTTGAAGCCATTGCAAACAGGGCGTCATGTTCGGATCAAGAAGTTATATCATGGCTACATTCAACTCCTACATGTCCAAACCATCGCTCTTCCTAAATGTAGCTTTTATTCAACTTAAATCCCTCTTTTCCAATTAAGGATGCTAGATTCCAGAATGAAGTCCCTGATTCCTGTCCTCGAAATAGCCTTAAATTTGACAATATGACAATTACTTGCTAAAACTATAATCAGTCCAATCTTTGCATTGCTTCTTTACAGGCATACAAGTATTAACTCAAGTAGACCTATAAGGCCACCAACTAATGACGTGTTACCTTAACCTGAAGACAAGTATGGCAATCAACTAATACCTTACCTCCAGGCTTCGCATTTAAAGAAAAAATCAGAAAAAGGGAATGACTCATTCAACTAAACAAGCTGACAATGGGTGCTCTCTTTTAATTAGCAAGTTGCCATCCTCAAACATTAAAGCAACTTTTGGACCATGCAAACAAAAAAATTAATATATCTACAAAACAAAAATTTCACCTCAACAGCAGCATCAAAAGTCAGAAGCACAGGAACTGGTGGGCCAAGTGTGGGAGTAATAATTCCTGCTCTTTCCCGAGCCTTATGGTCCAAAACCTCTAACTTAAAAAGAATGGTCTCAAACCTGCATCAAGAGGCAAGCAAATGTCAGTACACGCAGAAGTTTAACAAGAAAAACTAACCAAGAAACAACAAAGGAACCTTGAGCTGTCACCTGATCCAGCATTCACCAAATGTAAAGAGTATCAGAGATGATAATACATTATGGGAATTTAAAAATGAGGAAATTCCAGAGAGTATTTTGACAAAGTCTGGGACACCGATACCTTAAAAGAACTATATGAATAAGCTCATAAAGCATAAAATGGCTAGATTAAATTATCAGACGAGAAAAATATTCCGACCAAGGATGGCATCAGTATTACCTCAGAGGTACTAAAAGAAATATCATACGTAGATTCCCTCCTAGTTACTCTAAACCTATATTAAGCTCTTTTCTTGAACATCCATTAATGGTTTACAGCCCCATTATCTGTTTATTCAGGAGTATAGGTGAGTGCGTCAATTCAAAGCTTAGTCCTTGTTAGCATTTCCTCTCTCTGCTGCTCCTAAATTCAAAAGATTCTCAATAGTAAATAGGTAGTCAAGGCACAAAATCCACAAATTTATACCCCGTCCATCCAACTTGCGGAAGGGATTAAATCTTTTACTCTCTCCATAGAAATACAATAAGAAACAGACATGCGGTAAGAAAGAAAACAAAGCTCATAGTAATTACTTGCTACGTAAAGGAATATGAGCAAATGCATTTTATTCTAAAAAGCAACATTAAAATAATTTGCTTATCTCTTCAATAAGTGATACAAGTACCTTAGAGCTTGTATAGACAACTACTCTATTTATTATCAAGAAGTTCAAAGTTTAGCACCTCTAGTGAGCGAGAGAGACAGAGAGAGAGGAAACAATAAACATTGACTCAGCATAGCTTTCTATACCAAATTCCAAGTAACATTAACATTATTAAGAGTGTGGCACCTCATGGTAAAGCAAAATGATTACCCGCTGCAGACCACAAAGATCCTTACTCTTCATATGGTTAGGATATTTTACATGACATACCATATATGGTTTTCTATCGGCAACAGAAGCACTGAAGACCTATTAATCTGAAAGTGCCGACTAAGCATTTGTCACGGCTTCATTGAGTCATTCACAGACTAATACTTTTATAACTCGGTAAGACAAAACATGTTTCTACCGTGTTTAGTCATTCTTCGACAGCTAAACAGTGCAACCAAACTTACCACGAAACAACAAGGCATGTGAAGAAAAAATCATCAGAGCAAAATCATTACTTTTCAGCCGGTAGGATCTTTCTTTCTCTGTTGAACTCTTGTAGCCAATCCTCATCCTCGTTATCGAGATCATATTCGATAAACTCCCCGATCTCAGCTCGAGCTAGAATTTGTCAAACCAAGGGTCAGCAAAAGACAATAACTATGATTGCAAACGCCAAAAAGAAAAAAAAAATCATGGTTCACAGACCTCCTCTTGCACGTAGATACGACGTTGGTTGACCAAAAGTGCGGGAGTAGTCTCTTTCATATGTGTCAACAACCACGAATTGTGGTGTAGGTATTTCAGCAGCAGATTTCTTGCTAGAAACTTGTGGTACCTGAAGAGTAGAATTGTAACTCTGCATGCAACTTAGTATTAAAGGTAGATTTACACTCCCTTTAATTTGTACAGCAAGAATGTTCAAATTTCAAATGAATCTAGACATTAATATTCTATGAAGACTTCCCATTTTGTTGCATAAAATTTGAAAATCATCATATCAACTTCTGGTAAACTATGTAAAAGATCAATTCAAAGCTTAAGATTAGTAATGGGCATAAAGACTTTCCTAACTACAGCACATTCTAAATATGATATATGATGTGATATCTTGAGGAACAAAATTCCGAAGTTTGGAAGATACCGGAATCCCTGGTTGGCATCCATCATCTTTCAATATTACTTAATTAACAACTTAATGCAGATTCCAGCTATAATAAAAACTTGTTAAACACACAGCTGCCCTAAGGGAAAGATCCCGATCTCTTTTTTCTTTCCAATTTCAAAAATGTTAAGTAGAACTAAGAGGTTGGGCTATTAAAACTAGTTACCAGATAATGAAATTGCAAAACACAAGTCAACCAATCAAAAAGGTTTAACTGGTTAAAAATCAAACCAACCCATGTCACTCCTTTATAATTTTGAGCCACAAAAGTGCTTCCTTCTTTTCTAAACCCACTTCATTTCTTTTCTCATTTAGTCTTCGCCACTTTCTATCTAAAGCTAAGGATCCGAAACTAATTGCTTTGTATTTGCATCTCTCTGGCTAAAATATTATGGTTTCATGTCATTGTGGCTCTACTATCTAATAACATAAGCACGCCCAGTGTCTCCTGATTCATCCATGTCAGACTCATTTTAGACACACGTCAAGATACTATGTCGTATCGTGTCGATTTGTCCAACCGAATACATCTCAGGCTGTAATAACCTTATAGAGGTGGCAAAATGGGCGGGATGGGCGGGATTTGCTTGGGTTTGAGATGGAACCGAGTCATATGGGTTTGGGCCCAACCTTACCCATATGTGTTTTGGGACTAACTTGGGCGGGATCATTTTGGGATGGGTTTAGATTGATCCCGCCCAATACCCAAATCCATTTTCTACATATTTTTTTTCCTTTAATTCATTTTTTTTAATATAATTTTAATATTTTTGATTTATTAAATTTCTTTTAGTTTTATTAAATAAACATGCAAGTGCTTTATACTCAAGATTCCCACCAAAAATTGGATTAACAAATAAAGGAAAAGATAGATATACAGCCATATTCCAACATATATCAAGATGGCCAAGGTCCTTAGGATGTTGAATATTTATCCTTATCATTGTCCAAGGATGACAGGTCTAAACTAACTGAAATGCTGGAAATTCTTGTGGATAATGACTAGGAAGACTACTAGATTATATTCGCTGGTATGACTATAAAAATTGTTAAAGATAATTTTTGAATCTAAGATTCCGTTTGGATTGACTTTTTTTTCAAAAAATAAGTTTTTCAAATACAATGTTACAGTAATATACAATAACTCAAGAAACATCCCATCCATATTAATATATCAAATATTTCAAAAAAATTTTATAGTAAAAATTTTTCATATACACTGCTACAATAAAATATTTCAAAAACACCTACCAAAACAGCTAATCCAAACGGAGCCCTTGCCATTTGAGCCCAATGGGTACCCAAGTATTTCCCATCCTTTCCCATTCATTAATGGGTATAGTTGGGATGTGTCCCAACTTAAACCCAATACCAAATTATAATACCCATCCCGCCCAAAGTTCCTTTGGGCATGGGTAGCCTATTGGGACTTGGGACAAATTGCCAGCTCTATAACCTTATTAGGCTCTATCTCTAGGTAGTTCAAAAACTTTTTATGTGATCTCGAGGTTATAATGAAGTTATTAGGATCCTTCTCTATGTGGTTCAAATATTATTCATGTGATTTCTGGGTTATAATTCGCGTTATACAAAATCCTACTTTCTCTTGTAGTACATCCACAGCCAACTCATTTATATGAAGTTTGAAGATATCTATGCAGCATCATGTCAAGTTTGAGTTCAATGTTCCATAGGGCATAACAACATCATTGGCCAGCAACGCCTAAAATAACATCATCATAGCAACACCTAAATCTTTAGGTAAAGATAACTGTATGCCAAAAATAAAATCTAAGGTTGTGTAACCTTATTAGGTTCTATCTCTAGGTAGTTCAAAAAATATTCATGTGATCTCTAGGTTATAATGACATTATTAGGCTCTTGATCTATGTGGTCCAGAAACCTTTCGTGTGATTTCTGAGTTCTAACTCATGCTATACAGAAACCTACATTTTCTTGTAATACGACAGCAGCTAACTCATTTATATGAAGTTCGATATCTACATGGCATCATGTCAACATCGTTGTTCCGAAGGGCATAACAACATCATTGGCCAGCAACTCCTAAAATATGTCAATTTTAAATGGGTTAATTCCACTTTGCACCCTTTAATTATATCAAAAATCTCACTTTGATCCCTAAACTTTAAAATGAAACACTTTAGTCCCTAAACTATAAATTTTATCCCATTTAACTAGGATCATTGAGGAAGTGGAACAGATTTTAGATTTAAGTGGATATACTTTAGGGACTATAATAGAAACAATTTTATATTTTAAGGACTAAAGTAGAATAAGTTATATACTTTAGGGACTAAAATGGAACAAATTTATAGTTTAGAGATTAAAGTGTCCCATTTTAAAGTTTATAGACCAAAGTGAGGGCTTGCATTTAGTTAAAGGGTGCAAAGTGAAATTAACCCATTTTAAATGGTTAAATTGTTATCAACAGATGCATTGTTAATCTTTCTATGATAGATGAAAGTAGCTAAGGCATTATTTCCCATCAAATCTTTGCCCAACATGATCCTGTTATCATGCTAGGCGAGCTAATCCAAGAATTTACTCTTTATTTAAAATGGAGACCATAACATAATGACGGAGCCCCAATTTCTTAGTTCAAGAACAATACCAAAGTCAAGTGCTTGGAGCTTCTATTTAACCTTCTATAAAGCAGCGGCGCCTAACTTCTTGAAGAAAAGGGACTGGAAACAGTGTTATTTTATTTACATTTTTGCATCTCCGATTAGAATTTTGCAACTTCTTTTTTCTTTTGTTGACCATCTTCCGAATGGACATGCATTACTTAGATGTATTCAGTCATTAAAGGATATCTAGCCAGAAGTACACTATGTTCAAAAACCACTTGAAAATTAACAAGCCACATGTTACGTTGTCTGGATAAAGGTTGCAAAATCACAACAATTTAGAGCTATAAGTCAGAAATGGCCAAGTTTCAGATATTGCGCGTGGAAAATAATGTTGACCAGAACATAAAATGGAAAGTTAGTGATATAGGCAATCTGGTAAGAAGAAAAACAGTTAGGTAACTCATTTGACAGTTAGCAATCAGATAATCAATTATCAAAATGCAATAGTCAATTAGAATAGTCTTTCCATACCGCTGGGTAACCGACTCCCAAAAAGATGATCTTGGAATCAAAGGTCAAAAAACCCAAGTTACAACAATTATATGAGGACAATATACCCGATAATCTGGTAGGAATAAAATTAAATGTGGAGAATATACCAGATAATCCAACAAGAAAAAGAAAAGAAGGATTTATAACCTTCACTCGATAAATTTCATATATTCAGTTCAAAAATGATAATTAACATTACCTAAAAACCAATAAGTCAGCAACTAGAAAAAGCTGAATTAACAAATAAAAAAATTTTACTTAATAGATTATGTTCCAGAAAGAATAATTCTCACGGAGAAATCATCAAGAAGCTTGAAAATAGGCCAAACTGTATGAACTGTAAACTTCTCCAAATTTCAAAAGACTGACTGCCGATAAAATCCTTACCACATCTGACACATTTGGCATGCGAAAATTGTCAGCAACATAACTTAATAAGTCTTCCATTTAGGCCTAATGTGGATCTAATTTGTGTAAACACTGCTAGTACAATTTGGGGTTACGGTTGCCTCCCCTTTTCCCTTTACCTGTTTGGTTCAAAAAGATAGAGTTGGGGATGCTCACAAGAAACTCATTTACTTCTAGCACTAATTTTTGCAATCCAAGTGGGACCAACTGAAGAGTAAAGCCGGTTTACTAGCACTTTAGTGGCAAATTGCAATCAACACATGAAGACAAAACTAGGATTGAAAAACAATGAGCAGTGCACTTAATACTTTCCAAACTAAGAGAGAGGGAGGGGAGATTTTTGTACCTCAATGTCAGCCTCAGCAGCAAAGCGGAGTATCTGAGAGTTACGAGTAGTTGTAGGTGTATCATCATCCTCAAAATCCTTTACAGATTTTACAATGGGAAGTTTCTTGTGAATGTCAAGCGGACGCGGCCTAAATGACAATCTACTCATATCAACTCAGCCCTGTTCTGCTCTCATTTCCAATATCAAAATAAACTCACTTCGCTTCACTTGCAATCCACCACTACCGCCACCATCACTCTCTCACCACTTCAGAAAAATAAATATTTTTTGAAAATTGAAAAAAAAAAAAATCAATCATAATCACTAACGAGCAAGCTAGCAACAAATTTAAAAAGGAAATACCATTTCTAATCAGAATATTAAGATACCTGGGATACAGCATTCATCAATTCCGATTAAGAATCCGTTTTTCAAAAAAAACCCTAATTCGTTTTCTGCAAAATTTCAAAATTCGCGCCTTCCTGCCGTTAAAACCCTAAAATATACATCACGTGAATATGAATACATAATAATACAAATGCATATAAGCATTCATAAATACACGTACTTGTACGCGCATTTCATTCGTATAACGACATAAATACGAGTTTAGATTAAAAACATACCTAAATGCAGAGATTTGCGAGAGCAGGGGAAAGACAACTAGCAAAACGGGAAAGAAGAATTTGAATTGAGTGAAATTTAACTGTTTAAGTGTGTGTTGTGCGTGTGCTTTTTGTTTTGCTGGGAAATTTGGGGCTTTTGGAGAGGCAGAGGGGAGAAAATAGATTAAGGGGGCAGGGGCTATGGTGAAGAGAAAAGCTCCAGACCCGATTACCCGAACCTTTAAAGCAGTGAATCTGGGCGCGAGTTTTAATTGTGTATGGATGTAACTGTTGCTTCGAGGAAGAAGACGGGTCGGTCCTTTGTAAATGTCCCAAATGTAATGGAAGGCTGTATCCTTCGGGCCAACTGGCTATACTCCGTCACCATACCAAAATGGGCTTTGGTGTGGTCCAGAACCCAAATTGGGAAAATTTGGAAAAGTTTTTCGTTTATATTTTTCGGTGAATTTATACGTAGAATACCTTGTCATCATCGATTGTTTAGTCTCTAAGTAACAAAGACGATCAAAATTTCAATGAAGAGCTTAGAATCGTTTGAATTGCTATTTTTAGAAATTTTAATTGAAAATGTATCGTAATAATTTTATCTATATGAGATGCAAGAGATAAAAATAATTACAAAAAGTTCACAAAAGAATATAAAATTTTTTCTATAAAAACCATCAATTCAAACAAAACCTAAGGCTACTAATCAACATGAATATGAATTTTCCCAAAAAAAAAAGACATGTTTCCATTCATAAATTCCAATTAATTCAGCAGAAACTTTAGAGTAACTATTCTCGATTTCTTTTAATTTTGTTTGTCCTTTTCTCGACTTTGCACTAATATAGAATAGGATATTAAGAGTCCTTTAAGGTTAAAAAGAAGAAAACCAATAAGTTGGAAAAAATTATTCCATCTATTAATCATCAAGGTTTATTAGTTTTATATATCATTTCGCTTATATGTAGCAAATTATAAATTGTACATTTATATATTAGCAAACAAGTACTCAACAACCATCGCATCCTCTCTTGTCGACATAATTTTTCCTCTCAAGAAATAACTAAACCATTATTTTACAAGCTAACTAAATTTTTAATTCGTGCAGTGCAAGGATAATTAGTTAATTACACGAGAAGCTAAAAAATTATAGAAATTTCAAATGGAGTAAACAATACAAGGATATTTTAGGTTCATAATTACTTGCATCTGATATTCTTTAGGTAAAGGTGTTTAGATGGTTAATGCGAGGAATGCGAATAATATTTCTCTCTTCCATTTACCATATTAGTTAGAAGGCAACTTATCAAAATAAATTCATGGCTTTAGAAGGTTAACAATTATATATGAAAGCAAAGCATATAAATGCATATTCATATGCTACAAAATAGAAACATAAATGGAAAGTGAAAAAAAAAGTAAACAAATAAAGGAATCGCAAAAATCTCACCCTGCATCGTTTCACAAACTAAAATCATTTACCTCAGTGAGAGTAAATTTAGCACGGTAGTTTTAAGTTAAAACCAGTTAAAACTTTTACCTCTTTACTGTCATTTTTATTTTCATGTGAATTCTTCCTGGTGCCAAGTTCAACTAGTTTTCGTTTTTTCACCATTTTCGATTTTCTTCTTTAAGCAGCCCAGCCAGAGAAAAGCATTTCTGCTAGTCTTGCTTGCTTCTTCCTTCTTCTCTCTAATTTTGGTTGCCCTGAAGCTTCAGCCAGGCTTTCAACTGAATATCCATTGGAATTGGAATGCCACCGCACCGGACCGCAATTGGAGGCCTCGATCCAATCCTGTAACGAGAAGGGAATTCCCTGTTAGATCCGTACCCTGTTTCTTGTATAAACTTCAACTTATTTGAAATTGTTGGACAAAATTTAGACTGAAAAAAAATGCTGAGGTTAAAGGCTTTTCGTCCCACAAATGATAAGATCGTCAAGATCCAAATGCACCCAACTCACCCCTGGCTTGTCACCTCCGATGCATCCGATCACGTCTCCGTTTGGAATTGGGAACACCGCCAGGTTTTTCCTTTTAACATTTTTCCATTTAAAACACTATATCTGGGTTTTGGCCTATTTGTATTGGAATTACTTCGGTTATTTTGCTTCTCCTTTCTGTTTCTCGAATTTTGATTGGTTGTGTATACATATATTTTTTGTGGGTATTAGGTGATTTATGAGCTGAAAGGTGGGGGTGTTGATGAGAGGCGTTTGGTTGGTGCTAAATTGGAGAAGCTCGCAGAGGGCGAGTCAGGTACCCTTTATTGCTTTACGATTTCTCTGCATTTTTTCTGGGTCGAATTTTCCATATGGGTTTTAATGGTTAAATAAGTTTGAGCAATAGGTTACCAAATGACACATTGTGGATATGTGCCCTCATTGAGCTCTGAGAGCTGTGAAATCTGTATTCATCTAAGTGTTAGTATAAAGTTTAAAATTTGAGTACTGCTACGAGTAAACGTCTTAGCTGGAATGCTAGTGAACTCTGACTATTATGGCATACTGCAACCTTTGTTTTCATCTTTCTTTGTATGCTGCGACTCTGTTTCTTCCCCTGTTTGTGTCGCAATATTTGAATTTGAAATTTTACGTGAAGAATAATATTTAAGACAGAGTAGGTGGAGATTAGTACTATTACAGGGTTTTGCAAATTGATGGAACTTTTGGGAATTGATGGTTTAAATTTCCAAATTTTATTCCTAAAATTCAGTTGTAGCTGCTGCTCAGGGATGCTTTGGTTTATTAGAAGCTAGAAACCAAAATACAAGAAATTTTGCAACCTGAATTTGCTTGGTTTCCAAGTCTTGTTTAATCATGAAATGCTTTCCCCTCATTTGTTCTTGGAATAAGTCATTATTTATTTGTACCCCAGAGCCTAAAGGGAAACCTACAGAAGCAATCAGAGGTGGGAGGTAATGGATCAATCCCCTGACTTGCCAAAATTTCTGACTTTTGTGGATTTGTTTGTTAAACCTGAGCCATTCAGTGCATGGTTGAAGTGTTAAGCAGGTAAGCTTTTATGATGATGATGTGCGGTTTTGGCAACTTTGGCGCAACCGCTCTGCTGCTGCTGAGGCTCCATCCGCTGTGAATAATGTTACTTCGGCTTTTAGTACTCCAGCCCCTTCAACTAAAGGACGGCATTTTCTTGTAATATGTTGTGAGAACAAAGCCATTTTTCTAGATTTGGTGACAATGCGTGGGCGTGATGTTCCAAAGCAAGATCTTGACAACAAATCACTTCTTTGGTAAGGCATTGCTTCATATAATTCGGTATGTTCTTAAAAACTTGAGGATGGGATTATTTTGCTCAACTCTTTTATGCTATGTTACTCAGACTCAGTAATCAAGTCCTATTGACATGGCTACACTAGTGCAAAATGGAGAGTCGGCCACGGTAAGGTAGTGCAAAGTTGAGAGTCCGAGTAACATAGCTTTTATGTATGTGAGAGTCCATTAGTCAGAATATCACCAACAGGAGCTTGAATAATCATGCATCCTTAAGGTGCAAAACTAGTTACATAATCAAATGAATGATGTGGGTTACCATGTGCAACTCGGACGGAAGCAAACAAACGGAGATACATACTTTCTTTTTGGTGTTCTTGCTTGTGATTAAGTCAATTGATGCAAGGGGCTGCCTTTGAAAGAGTCTTAAGTTACATTGTAGTAAAGGATGGCATACTTATTTGGGTTACTTAACAATTGACATCTCCTTCCAAGAAAATTCATTTCTTCCCTCTATATCTCCAATTTTGGTGGTCCCTCACATTAAACTTATATTCTTAATCTTTTATAAGATGGGTCTTTCTTCTCCAAGGCTGTAATTGGGAGCATATAAGCTGAACAGAGACTCTGATAAGAGTTAAATTTCCACTCATCGAAAGGTTTTATGATACTAGGATAGATCCCCATGTTACTGCTATACCTCATTAATCTACACCAAAAGGATGGTTAGTTCTGCAATTGCATCATTTAAATCCAACAGATAATCTAATTTACTGGAATTCCTGCTTTGCTGGGGCCCCTTAACTATGATATGCATTGCACCTTTCATATGGCAACTACGTGGCTGTTTCAAACTATTCCCAGATGATATAACAAAAGTTAGATTATCGATTTTCTCCATCTCTCTCTCTCTCTCTCTCTCTCTCTCTCTAAATTTTTTGAATGTCTTTGTGACAGTATGGAATTTCTGGCAAAGTCGGCGGCTAATGAGGGTCCTCTAGTGGCTTTTGGTGGATCAGATGGTGTAATAAGAGTCCTTTCAATGATAACGTGGAAGGTTCCTTCTTCTAAGTGCTTTGCTCTTTTAATTTGGCCATTGATATTTTGCCCAGTTGTGTCTGAGAATATGAAAGTGCCAAGGATTGGTGTGATGTGGTTTCTCTTCCCTCTGCAGCTTGCTCGTAGGTATACTGGAGGTCACAAGGGGTCAATTGCTTGTTTGATGACCTTCATGGCTTCATCTGGCGAGGTAGTTTCTCTAAGTCTGTCAACCCTTTCTTTTTAGTTTGAATCTATTATTAAGTGTTTCTCTCTTCCTTTTGTATATGTAGTGTATCTTAGTTTATAGGAGGAAGCATCCGTAGCTTGGTGTGTTGAAATTGATATGTCACAATTCTCTAGTGGATGTCCTTTGTTTTATTAGTCATCTTTGTACTGGTGAATATTACATCTCCTTGTATTTTGGCACAGGCATTTTTGGTTTCTGGCGGTAGTGATGGTTTGCTTGTCCTGTGGAGTGCAGATTATGGGCATGATTCACGAGAACTTGTGCCTAAGCTGAGCTTAAAAGTAGTATTCTTCTTAACCAGTTGCTGTACATTTTAATTGTTTTTCTTCCCTTCTTGTCTTTTCACTCTAGTTACTTTATAAAATTATGTTTAACTTGTACTTGATCTGCTAATGCCTTTTCTTAGATTCCTTGCTATTCATGTATCAGGATGAAGAGTGTCTCTTCTCTTTCCTATGTAACATAGTCTGTTGTTTAGGTGCTAAATTTTGACTTTTTGAAATGTTAAAGTTGCTTCTCTGACTCCAATACCCAATTCTTTGTATTTATATCCCGGTTAAGTTCTTTCATATACTGATTTGCTAAGATAGCGAAATCACAAGAGGTAATAAGTTTTTCTGGGTAGGTCTAGTATTATTTGGAAAAAAGTTCCTTGAGGTGGTGCGCACCATTTAGCTTCAAAACAGAGTTTGGATTCAGAAAAAGTGAACTAATTTTTTTATTCAAGTGGATGTTACTAGTTGTCGTTCATTCTGGAATGACATACTTCTTAGGGAGTGA